AAAAAAAAAGATGATGATGATGATGATGATGATGATGATGTCGATGTCGATGATGACAGGGAATAAACTAAGCAACTGATAATTCAAAAGTGGTTTAATTTAACCGTTCCAGTTAAACAGCAATAACTGTGCGTTAACTGAAGTTCGGCAGCTGGAAGAGGGAAAGAAGAAGATTGAAGAAGCAGTAATAAAAAACATAGGCAAACTGGTAAGATAAACTTTTAAACTAATATCGAGAAAAACTACCTTAACTTATCGAAAAACTGTAAATAAAAGCCTATAAAACTTATTTTAATTAAAATATATAAGTTAATTATTTTTGACAATATACAACACGTTTTTTCATAAACCTTCAGAAATAATTCTTTTTTTAAAAATTTTTCAAGAAATAATTTTCTTCTTTTCAGAGACAAAAAAAATACTGAACAACGAAGTGAAAATTTTACTTAATATGCAGTCAGTTTAGCTGCTTCATGCTAAAGTAATATCCGTTCTTATTTTACATTGAGAATTGCTTTTCTCAAAGAAAGTTTAGAGAAGAGTAGATGAACACACTGTCGCTAAATAATTGATCAGAATCATTGTCTACATTTTTCCGAAATGTGAAGGATTATAAACTAGAAGAGAGCGTTTTTAAAACGAAAAAAGGCAAGCAAATATCCAGTGAGGTAAAGCTTTGTTTTCAGATTAACTCTCTTAACTGGAACGGTATATCCGCCCGGTTCGTTTAAAATATCCTTGAAAAAGCGTATAACATTAGTAATGCTGATATGGGTAATAAAGTGAAGTTTATCTGATTGGCTGAACTTGGCTTTGCTGAAATAATGTAAAGAATCAGATGCTTCATCTGTAGCCACAGTGCTTGCTATAAAGGAAAGAATCAAAGCAAATCTGTAAATTGATCCCAAATACTGAATTTCTCGTAGCCTGAAAAAACTGTAATTTTCAAAGAAATGCTCACCAGATTCAGTTTCTGCGTCTGGAACCTTATAGACGATATAAGATCGAGCTAATGAACCCCAGCCTAAAGAGTTCCTCGCTTGTACCTGTAGCTCATAATCATTGCCAGGTTTAAATTTTGATGGTGATAAATCATATCGACTTTTCCAAGTGTTCCCCTGACGATCGCCTAAAAAAAAACAAAAAAATTTAAATAAGGTAAAAATTGAAATCAGAAAATTTATTATAAACTAGTACCTTCTAATGAGAGAAGCAAGTTTGAAGTACTAAAAATCGGAAATAACTTCACATTTGTTTATTTCTGTACTCAACATGGTTAGATAACGAACATTTTCAAATTAAACATCCAAAAAACTTAAAAATATTCTCATAAAAATTCACATTCTTTATCTTGCTTAACTGTCTTCAAAATATTACACCATTCACAACCTCATAACAAAAAATTTATTTGCTAATAATGACCTGTTACTATAAAATATCATATGATTGTTCAAGCTGCTTACCCTTTTGAGCGCGGATTTCAATAGAATCTTGCCAGGTATCATCATGTGATGTTCGATATTTAATTCTGTACATTATAATAGCATTTACAGACTCAATTTCCCACTTTAACACCTGATCTGATAAGCTAAGCCTTGGTGGGCCTGGTCGACCTGTACAAGTAATCGAGTAATCATTAATTGATCGTTTCTCATATAAAAAGTTAGTGTTCACTTATTGGCAAATAAAAGCTGTGTGGTGACCAAAAAAAGCCATTCTATGAGAAGCAAACTTTTTCAGAAACAAATAAAGAATTCTTCATATGAAACTCTTCGAGTTTTACGAATGTAATTTTACAGTGGCAAATCTAAAATGTTGACTTCTAAAACAATTAGCATGTCTAAAACTTCAATTTACAAAAAAAATTTTGATCAAATATTATCAGGTGCACGAGGAAAACTGATGTAACATTCAAAATACAATGAGAGTAAAAGGCAAACAAATGTGGTGCTCACCACTAACATAAATTGTTTTTTCATCAGTTCCATAATTGTTGGATATTCGACAGGTATAATCTCCAAAATGATCCTCATTGATGTTATTAATCTGAATAATTGTTTCACTGTAGTTGGATCGTCGTACTGCATAACGGTTAATTTTTTTAAATTTTTCGTCCGTTGCATCCTGAACAAAGCAGAAAAATAAACAGCGATAGTCTAACGTCAAATTTCGTTTACACCATTACTAATTTTAACAGTTTATAAGAAACATCAACTCACTTTCCTCTTCTTTAATTCACTTTCTTTTTGCCTAAATTTTATGATGCCAAAAACACTTGAAGTTTTTTAATCTGTTTAAGGAACTGCATGCTAGTGTTGTAATTGGAAAGGCAGTAATTATATATGCTAAAAACTAAGGTGGTCAAAGAATTTACATACATTGATGACGAATGCATTGAAAAACCATGTAACTTCTGGACTTGGTTCACCATCGTATCTGCAACTGATATTCACCTGCTGGTCCAGTTCAACTGGTAGATATGTGTGCTCGGTGGTAACCCATGGTGCAGCTGTAACACAGAAAAAAACGTCGAAACTTACAGAGACCGAGTTTGAACGAATTGACGCCTGATTGTGGATAAATATGACTTGACAAAACACTCACTGTTCGATTTGTGCAACAGTGACACATGTGCATTTTTGTGTGTGTTTGCTTTTGATGTTATATATTCTGGGAAGCGAATCCAACTACATATTCGAATAAACAGATTTAATCCAGGAAAACTTTAATGTCTTCAACTAACACACACTTTACAATCAAAAATCATGCTGTTATCATTTTTACGGTTTAATGCATAATAGCTAACCCTTCAAACAAAAAAATTATCTCCCGCATACAGCAAAACTTGCAGTTTTTTGATTAAAAGTAGCATTAAAAGAAAAGAAACGGAAAAAACAAAAGTTTTATGTTTACGGTTAATATTACCATTTTTTAAGTGTAGGTTAGTGTCTGGGCATTGATGGAAAAGTGAGAGAAAAAAAGATATTTTTACTCTGTTTAGCACGGGTAAAAACGTTCACACAACAAAATAAGGGTAGATAGAAAAAAACTATGTTAGTTCATATATTATTCATGCAATCTTTTTACTGTTTCTCCTTTTGTTTCTGATAATTATTTCTGGCAAATCTATTATAATTTTACTGTGGTTTAGATTTGTTGTTCTTCAATTGAAGCAAATACAAAGAAGGAAAAAGAATAGAAACGGTAAATATTTGAGTGCGAAATTTTTAGTTTCGTGCAAAGTTAGTTAAATTTATCTATTTCAAATGGTGTTTGTAAGTTTGAGTTTTTAAGGGTGTATTTATGTGTGCTCGTGAAGCGGATAGTGTATATGTGTTTGTGAGTATGCTTTAGATAATGATTATCATCAATACATCGGTTAGATTTTGATTAGTAAAATTAAACTCACTCGCTGCATGCCTTTCGGATGCTTCTTCTGAAATTTTGCTTTTTGTAATCACAACATTAAAATCGTTCAAAATAACCAATTACTGTTTAATGAAATTAAGAAAAAGAAAATAATTTCATCAAGAATAAGGAGAGGAAAACAAAATCTGCTTCATTGAAAAATTCTCTATTGTTACTATTCTTAGCCAGATAAACAAGACAAAGGTTGATAGTTGAGAAGACAAAAGATCTGTTGATACGGCGAATCAAAAGAGTATTAAAAAACACACATTGAAGGTATCAGATTTAGTAATTGATGATAAGACAATAAGTTCTTTTTGACCTTTAAATTCAACCAAAATCATTGTAGACAAACGTATTTTTGTTCAGTAATTGCTTTTAAATAATTCTGCATACAGTGATATTAAAATAATAGTTCCATAACTGTCAGTGGCGTTAAAAGTTGGCCTTCATTTCACAGCAAACAGCAATAGCAACAGCATCATCGTCACCGTCAGAAGCAGCAATTTAGGGTAATATTTGATAAATTTCCGCGTAAAATGATTAGTTCCAAAATTTCGGCTGAGTTGGCTTATAGTTAGGTATTTTTGAAAAATTTTGTGGAATAAAATTGAGAACGAATGAGGCGGAATTAGAATTTATTGTTGCTGTTTTCATTTTTGCTAATTTTATCAACATGATGTTTACTTTCCAATTGTAAAACTGGACAGAGGGGTAAGAAGAAGGGTAAGTTAGTGTAAAAACACAGCCAACAAGAGTATTTCTAATAACACGTGAATTATATTAGTGGTACTTTCAATAGATGTAGATTGAGTTTTAAGCGCGCATATTAATAGTGTAGTAACAGTAGTAGCATAGCAGTAGTAGTAGTAATAAGTTATCAGAGATGCGTAGAAGACAGCAAAGAAAGAGA